GGAGATTTATCCGAGAGACACAGCAAGACAGGGAGGACGACTATGCAAAGATTTAAAGCAAATCTGAAAATGTCAAGGCTTTTATTTTTGGAGTCAATATGTGAAAAGCAGGCTTTAATAAACCCACCTGACACTTGATCCCAGCCTGACTGCATGGACAAGCTTCTGGATCACAGAAGAGGCGGCAGTCACATCCACATTCCTCTCTGGAGAGACGGATGGCGCGAAGCTCCTGCTTCTCCTCAGCATCTATACGATGTACCCCAGCTGCTCTGAGCAGAGCCCGACGCCTCTTTGTTGGTAATGGCTGAAGGAAGAAGTAGTCATCTACTTCTACACCATCTACATCTATATCTTCGTCTGACACATCCTCCAAGGTGAGGCCATCGGCTTCTTCAGACTCTATGGTACCATTTTTGGTCAGCTGTCCATGGAAAGAAGAAAAAAGCCAAAACTTGGTTACAACGGACAGACTTGTAGAAGAAAACCCCAAGCTGGGGCAGGCAAATAGGCTAAATGGGCAGTTAGACTTCTGGGGGAAAATCTGGAATAACAAGAGCATATTGAATACTAAGTATAAAATGAAAACACTAAAGAACTCCAGAATACACACAAAGTGGCAGGTGGTCAAGTTTGGAATATGCAAATTATGTAATCTACTAAAACAGACACCAAGAATTCTTCTGCATCTATGCCCCTCTTGTTCAAGATTATTTAAAATACTAATAATGCTAAATACAGTGGGTGGCTGCTAAACTCTTCACATATGTAGGACTGTCAGATACAGCTAACACCATAAATACATTGGGAGGTATTCCTAATGAAAGAGTTCTTCTAAAGCTGCATCCAAACTGACCACACAATACCACAAACCAAATGCAAATATCGCTTAGCAGACGTAGTCTTTATTGCCATACAGACATGTCATTTGCATTGCTAGAGCACATTTGACATTTTGGCGTTCCAGGAAAATAGCATTCAGCTTTTTTTTTTGTTGTAAATCATCACATATGGATTTTGTTCTGCTTATTCAGCTTATTTTTCTAAATACATATTTTATAAAATATTCGTACCTATATGCTCCAATACCTTCCCTGATACCAGAACTTTCGGTCAGAGGAAAATTTCCTCTGACCGGCAGTGCCATAGGGGAACATGGAGCCAGCTTCCCGTGCGATCAGGAAGCTGGACGGCGAGTAATGACCCGCCTCCCAGCTTCCTGATTGGCCGGGAAGCCAGCTTCCAAGCCAATCAGCATCGAGCCGGCTTCCCAGGCAATGAGAAAGCCGGCGGGCGGGGCATTACTCACCACCCAAATTCTTGATTGCCGGCTCCATGTTCCCTTACGGCACTGCCGGTCAGAGGAGATCTTCCTCTAAATGGACGTTCCGGTATTGGAGCATTGTACTCGCCTAAATACTCTGTATTAGCAGTGATACCGATACTAGTATCAGTATTGGTGCAACCGTACTGGATAGCATTTGTATGTAACCCAAAAAATTTCATTTAAGGCTTAGATGCAGCCATTCAAAGATTCATCAGTATACAAGCACACATATCAGTAAATTAGAGACTGCTTTAAAAATTAGCATTACAGTAATATTTACTGTGACTTATGGGTCAGATGTATTCCAAATATGACTGCTCCATCAAACATGACATAAAATAGTAAATTGGCTTGTTTTGCCGTTTAAATCTTATCCCTAAATTTCACCATACACTATCAGGGAAATACAACAGGAGGTAGGTTACTGCATGGGGCTGTTTATCGAAATGATCCCAGACACATTTCAATTCTCCAAAGGTAGTTTTCATCATACAGCCCCCAAGGGAGCCAGGAGAAAAGGCTGTGAAGGTGATGCAAGTGTGCCTAATGTTCATCATCCTTAAAGTGACACTAAACTCAGGAGTTAAATCTTAAAAATGCATGCAAGTACCTTAACTAAACACAAATGTGTAGGACTCAGCTGTAGACCCTCAAATCATCTCTGAATTGATGCCGACACTGTCCTTCCTTCTGGAAGGTGGCTACTTTTCTTCCCCATGGTCACTGTGTGTGTTGTAAAGTAGGCACCGCTCCAAACTCACTCCTGTGATGGACCACAATCTCAGAACAGATTAGTAAACTAAACATGAAATTGTAGTCTCTCACGGGAGTGAGCTTGGAGCGGTGGCACTTTATAACATACACAGTGACCATGGGGAACAAAATTAGCCACACTCCAGAAGGAGCTCTTTTGCATGGTCATATTGATATCACACCCTGCAGACCCATCTCTCTCTTTCTCCCTTCTCTTTTCTGTTTTCTGACACCTACACTCCATTTGGGGGCGCTTATTCGAAGGGGGAGTGATCTGAGGCTGGCTGTTTTTGTTCAATTGGATTTCTAACTTCTTATGCCTTTTTGTGAGAGGTTCATTTTTGATAGTTCTGACAAGTCATTATGTTACAATGCCACTGGTATGCTGTGCACTACCCTTGTTTTGTGCACTACCCTTGTTTTGTGCTCTACATACGTGGTTTACTTCCTTTTTACGGAGGTATATGCTTATTTCCACAAATGTATTTTTTGTAAAAATAAAACTTTATTGAACGAAAAATGCAATCAAATAAGCTGGAGAAAGAGGAGAGGCAGCTACCACTGACATACCTTGGCACTTTTTCCACGGATGTTAATATAAAAGGAGAACTATGGGGTCAGTGTTTTTCCCCACAGTTCTCCTTAGGGTAACGGGAGGACACAAACTAGCATCCTCCCGTTACCCTAAGCTCAGTATACCGCGAGCTACAGCTCGCGGTATACTGAGACGCCGCAGCCAGAGCAGATCCCGACTTACACGACGGGATCCGCCCAGCTGCATGAGTGACAGCTGGATCTGCCTATCTGGAGGCAGAGCCAGCTGTACCCGCCCCCTCCCCCGTCCGTTCCGCCACTCATCGCTGGCAGATCGGAGCGGGGAGAGGGGAATCCAGCCCCTCCCCCTGTCACGGCAGAGAGCCGTGACAGGATCGAGAGGTGAGCGAACCCGGTATGTGTTCGCTCACCTCCCGATCTACTGAGCCGACCTGTGACAGTCTCATTGCCACAGTTAGGCTAGAACTATGAGGTGAGTGAAAAGCACTCACCTCATAGTTCTCCTTTAAATAGCCTTGTGGACACGTGTGCTTGGAGGAAGAACGATTCTTGTTGCAGATAACAAAAAATACTCGTTTTCATTATCCCACACTGCTACTAGCAAAAACTGACCTTCCTTCAGACATTTCCATACAGGATCACCTTACCCATGAAAGAAATAATGGCTGGCTTCTATGTGTCAGGAACAGATATTAGGACAAGATATTCACCTTCATCTTTCGTGTGTGAAGCTTCTCTTCTTTCAAGTGTTCCCGTAAGATTTCTCGATGCGACACTTCCTGTTCCTGGGCAAACTCACACAGGGTATATTTCTGCACAGAATTGTGGTGCTGTGCCATTCCCAGGGAACTGCCCCCCTGACTCGGCACGCTGGTGAAACCTTGCCGCCGGGAGAAGTAGTATACAGTCACCTGGTCGAAGCGCACATTCTTCTGTCTCAGAAGTTTCTGCCTCTTCAAGATGGATATTGCTGGATAAACCATGACATATATTTTATTGAAAAATAATGATGAATCAATACATTTACAAAAGTTCCTTATACATACAAATAAAGCCTAGATCTAATTTACACCTTCAGATTAATGTTAACAGAAATACAATTCATCTGATTTCTAATTTCCTGAAAGCAATAGGTCTGTTTACTAAAGTAGCATGAAAAATAAAAAACGAAAATTAGAAAATAGTTTCAAAAATGTTAAAGAGCAACTTCAGCCAAATCAGTGCCTCACCAATGGTTTAAGAAAAAAAATGTGGTTGTGATCAAGTTAAAAAGGGCTTCAACGCTTCCTGGGACTAGTATGCAAATCGAAAATCATGTGTTTTGTCTTTACATGTTGTATGCTTGTTGAAACCTTCTAAATCAATTTTCTAATACAAATTGCAAACAAAAATAGGAGAAGAAAAGGAATAGTAAGGGATAAAAAAAAAAAACACAAAAAAAATAAAACAAGGAGAGGGGACATGGATCGCCTACATCCGAAATACATAATTATATTTATATGGTATTCCGACATCCCAGAGTATTAAAAAAAATTAAATAAAATAGAAAAGGTCAGGGAGTTTCCACATTCCTTGTACATCATCTGTGGATGCCTTGGATCCCAAATATTAGGGCCCAATGATGGACACTTGCGCTGTTTTAATTCCTCCATTTGCATAGTCTGATCGATCATTTTATAACATGAAGTATTGGATGGAGCTGTAGATGATTTCCAGTGTTGGGCAATATTACATTTTGTAGTGTTTAGTAAGTGGGTAAGTGGGGAAGCAGACTGTTCTGATAGTTCTTATATGGAATTGTAGAATACTGAAACCCAGGGGTTCCAATAATGGAGTGCAGCCAGGAATTTTAAATATCAAGGCCGCTACCTCTGACCAATTATACAACTGGAGAAGCATCATTCACCGTTTAACACATTTTAGAGAATGCCGGGCATAAGAGAAATGTGGAGGCCATCACTACCTTCCCAACCATGTAAATGTCTTACTGACTCTACATTGTAGCACACTGTCCCGCTAGAATGGAGCATAAGGCAGGAGAGTCGATTTACAAGGCCGATCTACATGTAAGGTCCAAAAATACTGTGAAAAACTGTACTGGGTAAGCAATAGCACATTTTTCTTGTACTTAACAAATTCCAGGTCTTGTTATATGGTTAATTTATAGCATAGATGCCAAATATTTCAACAAAATATAGTGAATTTGGGGAATAATTCCAACTCATTCTGAATGTTAACCCTCAGAGAGATCTGTTATGTAGTTACCCCATTGTGTCATCCTAAGTGTAGTGGACATGGTGGTTTGCTTTTGACATTAGTTGTGAAGCATTTCTAAAGGAAGCAGAGAATGAATTTTGAACTAGACCTTATGAAGCAGCATACTTATGAAGTGGACCTCAAATTGATCTCACATGATGGTGTACACTGATGGTCCACTGGAGACTTAAAATGCAAATCGGCACACATGCAGGAGAGTGCAGAACACAATTTACAGCTGATTGACCTCCGTGCTGGATCCTCAGAGCCTAGTAAAGCATTGGTTAGAGTGTGCACACCAGAAGATATGATAAACAGTACTGGGTGCAATCTATACCACAGATGAACCCAAGACAAAATTTACAAAAGCTTATGAGTGATATGCTTTAAGCAGTAATACACAAAATCTGTACTGTAACTGCCACAGTGGTTTTTTGTACACAGTAGGGATGCTCCAATACAGATTTTTCAGTATCAAGTACGAGTACCGATATTTTTTTTTTTTCAGTAATTGCCGAAAACGAATACTGATACCAGAAGTCCCATTAAGGAAGCCGGGCGGCGTGTAATGACTCACCGCCCCAGCTTCCCGATTAGCCGGGAAGCCATTTCTATGCTCCTTCGTCACCAGGAGGAGGTTTTCTGGCCAATCAGGAAGCTGGGGGGCGGGTAATGACTCACCGACTGGCTTCCTAATACCAGAAGTTCCGGTATCGGGAGCATTTAGCTGCGTATGAGTACTTGCCCAAATACTCGGTATCGGCACCGATATCAATACAAGTATCAGTATCGGTGCATCCCTAGTATACAAGATAAGATTTGCTAGTATGGCTTATACATTTTTTTTATCTACTTGGCTTAAAAACAAAATAAATATTAGAAACAGGATTTTTTTTTAAAAAGCTTTTTTTTACTATTTTTATATAAACTTCATTTAGTGCATAAAGTTCATCTGAGAGCTCAGCGTTCCTTGGGAAATAAATATTAATACTTTCAACTGTCAAGCCAGATCACTTTTTTTAAATCGCAACTGTCATTTTATAACCTGCAACTGACCCAGCAATACACTTCCTGCATACAAGTATACAAATATTCATAAGTTTTTAAATAAATAGAATTTCACTGGATACAGATTACATCAGGAAAATGTTGATTTCTACATTGGGTACCTTAGAATTCAAATAACCGGCAATAGTCGGAGCCCCTTTCACACAGGTGACACCAGTTCCGATCAGAATGGAATTCGTGCACAGATCCCTTGCTGATTGGAGCAGTGCGGAACGGATTTCATCCTTGTGACATCTGTTCCCATTAGATCTTTCCTCAATCTTCCGATGGAAAAAAAGAACTGAACCAACTAACCTAACCACGTTATGTCTGTGGGCAGTCGGATGTAAGCAGATTTGTCCGTTTACATCCAATTGCCTCTGTTCTATTATTATTTTTTTTGCGGACCAAGACAGACACAGAGGTAATCGGATGTAAACAGACACAGGGACGTTTACATCCAACTACCTGTAGACAAACACTGAGCGTCTGATCAAGTACATCTAAGAGACCGACAGGCGGACCTGATTGACACACCGTGTGAAAGGAAAACAGAGATGGAGAAGGATCTTGGGGTCCTTATAGACCACAGACTCAGTAATAGCAAGCAGTGCCAAGCTGCAGCTAATAATGCCTGTAGTATATTATCTTGCATTAAGAGGGATTTATTCAGGGGTTAGAAATAGCATGTTGCACCTTTACAAAACACTGGTAAGGCCCCATCTTGAGTACGCAGTGCAACTCCAATCCTCAGGAGGGATGTCCATGAGCTAGAAAAGGTTCAGAGAAGGGCAACCAAATTCAAAAGGGGGATGTAGGGTCTGAGTTCCCAAGAACGTCTAGGAAAATTAGGATTGTTCTCCATAGAGAAGAGGTGACATGATCGCAGTTTAGAAACTCATCACTGCGGTATTGAGAACGCACTACTTAAACTAAATACTGTGAGGAAGACGCGAGTGCATAACAAGAAGTTGGAGAGGAGGCGGTATAATCTTAAACTGCGTACAGGATATTTTACTTTTGAGAGTGGTAAAGATGTGGAATTCACTTCCACAGATAGCTGTATCAGCGGTAAACATACTGCTTATCAAAAACAATTGAATGAGTTCCTCAGTTCACAAAACATGCAGTTATTGAAATTCCGGGAATCATACACACACACACACCATATAGGTTGAATCTGATGGACCTGTGTCTTTATCCAACCTCACCTACTATGTAACTATTTTTTAAGGGGGGCTAGTTGAATCACTTTGGTACAAGGCACAAAGTAATTTCCCTCTCAAATCACATTTTCTGAAAAACGGTTTATATAAAACAATGGCTGCCATTGCTGTACATGTACGAGAGGTACACTTTAAGAACTGAAATTATGGTTGGGTTATTTCCATTGACATGGAGACACAATGGTGTGCTGTATGTTCAGAGGTAACTCACGGATAAGCTCAGTGGTGGTGGTGGTGGGAGGGTTAATGCTGTCACAGCTTTCTGCACTGTCACTGTTTGAGATTTCATCATCGGAGTCTTTCGGGGTAGAAATAGGAGAGCCCACATCAACGTCTTCAAATTTTCTTTTCAGGCTTCGGCTCGTCACAGCATCCATTTGTTTAAGGGTGGCCTGCAAGCAAAGGCGACATTTCATATATGAATAAATAGCTGCAAACAATGAACATTTTATTGAATATAAAGCTGAATTACATACAAAATGATGAACAAACACTTGAACTTCATATACATGAATTATTTTACCAGCCAAAGATTTGTAATTGTGTGCAGCCTGCCTAGTCATCCAGGCAACCCAGCCCGACTGCTGCAATTAAATAGTACAGCTTGGTCACCAATCCACCCCCAGGTCTTGGTAGGTCAATAAGGAAGCAGCAGCACTGGTGGGATCATTTGTGTGTTTTCCCCACAATGGAGAAACCATAAGAGTCCTGACTGGCTCCAAGAATGGCCTCTTTCTTTTCCCAGTCTGAGTTCTGCTGTACATGTGATTACAAGAGGCTGATATACGGACAGATGCCAATTCTATATAAAAATACATAAACTGTCCATCCATTTCTGAGATCTAGATAGAGCTTTCTTTTGGTGGTATTTAATCCCCATTGGGGTTTTTATTTTTTACCATATTATGGAAAGATTACAAATTTAAAAAAAACAACAACCTGTTTCCCTATGAAATGTTATAAAACATTTATTATGACCCCAAATGTTTGGTAAAACATTTGGGGCCGGTGTGCTTCCGCACACCGGCCCGTCCGGCTGTTATCTTACGAACATGCTACACACCCGCCGAACATCGTACGATGCTCGGCGGGTTTTCAAATATGTTCGCAAGTTTAAAGTCGTGCGACCTTACAGTAGTAGAGGTCGCACGGCTTCCACACACCTTACGATAATCGTACGATTGCGGGATTTCCCGCGATTATCGTACGATTATCGTAAGGAGTGTGGGGACCTTAAGGCTGCTTTCACACCGAGGCAACATGTTTCTACACACGTTTTGGCTGCAAGGTTTTTGCGCGCACATGCAGTCACGTGTTTTTGAGAGCAGACTGACACATTAATGTAAATGGGCATACGGACATAAACATGCAAAAATAAGTGTGTTGCCCATTTCCAATTGAGTTTATGGGAACAAAACGTGCAGTAGCCTGCCCAAAAGCAGCTCAGGTACTTTTCTGAGCGACGGGTGTTATTCTACGTGTGACGCCACGCTCAAGGGTGAACGGGGTTATAGAAACAAATGGGATTTCTTGTCTTGAGTGTTTCAATGCCAAGGAGCCGGACCAATTATGGTCAACTGAACAGCACCCAGTATTCAATCAGATGCAGCCACTGTTCGGTTATCTTGACAGCCAGCAACATACAATTGGGCTGATCAAGTGGTTGAGAGCAGCTTATTAGGAGTCTGGACCAGGGTTGTGTTGGAGTTGTGTGTGTGCAGGACGCACACGGACACAGGCAGTCTCAGGTGCATGCTGGACGCATGTGGAACAGGCGTGGGAGGCTGGGAAAGGTCAGGAAGGTCGGTGACCCAAGGGACTTGTTGGACGCACTGATGGGAGAGCAGTGTGAGTGCCCACGAGGGGAGATGTCAGGAAGGTCTGTGACCCAAGGGACCTGTTAGACACCGCTGAGAGAGTCCGTGATCCACTGCTGGGAGAGCAGTGTGAGTATCACACAGAGGTGTGCTGAGAGGCTTAGAGCTGAGGAAAGCTACTAAGGACTGTATATGCTGAAGAAGGCTGATTATTATGAAAATGTTGGCCTTTACGTGAACAAAAGATTATCATTTATGTTGCTGTTGGAAGCTGTCTTGTACAACAGGGGAAGTCTACCTTGTTGATGGAAAGAGACTTTTTGTGTTTTGCCCTTAATTACACACACAGCTTTATACTGTATTTTCCATAGAAACCAGATATTCTCCTAATTATTTTGTACCGAAGAGAAGTACATTAGCTGGAATAGGGCCGGGTACCCGAACAACACACAGTCATGCCTCTGACAATGCAAGGCTTAATAATACAGATTTGTAATGACATTCTGATTTCCGCTTCCTCTCTCCTGGCTGACTCGCTCTTTATGTTTTGCTCCTCAGCAGGTTGAATGCATTTTGCCTCCCCCCCCCTTGTCATTTGGCTTGGTTGCCATGACAACTTGCTTTGGTTTTTGTAGAAGCAGAATGATATCAGGCGAACAGCATGGGCTTGCAGAATTCAGCCAGCGGAAATCTAGACAGACCATGTAAAAATCAAGGCAATCTGGTAAAAAGGTAATATTTTAACAATTAAGGACACAAAAGGGAAACTGTTGTATTGCATATCTTTCTCCTGTATTTGTGTGACGTCAAAAGAAACCCCTGACCTCATAATGTGTCAAATGAAAGCATTGCCTAAACATCAGATGAGCTACCCGGCTACCTTTCTAGTGTCTGAGCAGTGCGTCATTCTTACCATGGCTACTGCTCATTTCAACTGCTTAGCTGGATACTTGAAAGTGATATTTAAGTCAAAAGGTTTTTTTTTTAAAGAGGACCTTTACCCATATCTTTAAAAGAACAACAAATACACCTTTAGAAATGTTTAGTAATGACAATGTACAAACACATACTTCTACATAATTGCCGGCTAACATTATTTCTCTTTTCTTCCCCAGGCTTCCGACAGTGGCCATGTTTACTAAGGGCAGGTTACTAGCTCTCCTATTACTTGCTGGATTTCTGACTAGGACATGTGACCATGCACATCCTCTCAGGGGAGGAAAATGCCTTTCACTGAGATTTCCCAGCAATGCTCTGCTGATGACAAGGCAATCCCAGTGTGCATCGCTTTGCCAAACTGAAGTCATTTTGCCCTTTCAAAGGAGGAGGTGAATGCTCTGCAAGTGTTTCAAAACAGCATTTTCCTGACATGTCTCCGTTACTATTAATCATCATACATAGAGGGATGTATTGAGTGTAAAGGTCCGCTTTAAGCTATTTCAAATGCTTTATTAAATCACTTAAAATAATTTGATTTTGCTCCGATGTTTAAAAGTTTAAGTTTCTTGCAGAATCAGCTGGTCTCCTGAGCACTGGCCCTGATATGCTTGTTTTGGGTGGCTCCTTTCCCTTGCAGGGCCCTATGGAGCCACCCTTGTGTGTGCTAGTAAGTTGCGTGTAGGTCTCCACAAACACACAGGCAAGACACTGCCTTGATCCTTCTTGTTCCCTTCTACAAGCTAGTAGACTGACAGATGCTGGAGTCTGCTCTGTTCCTTGCGATCTTGTACTGGACAGGAAGTTCAGGGAAGCCAATGGGTGAGTTGGAGTAAGCTGTTTGGAAACATGGTGACTGTAAGTGCTTGAGCAAAAATGGAAATAAATAGTTTGCTGTGCAATGTATATTTGTTTGATCTGGATTTATTATTGGATGAAACTTTGAGAGTTTAATACTACTTTAACCTGAAATACATATGCATCTGTATCCCTCCTTGATGGTTTATCTCCCAACACTTTATTCTCACTGTTCAATAAGAGTAATTGTGACCCCTAAAATAACACTGAACCCCTAAAAGCTGACATGTTTCATCAGAGGAGAGATAATATAGTCACTATGTCGCCATGGAGAAGGGATTCTGAGGGGCCCCTAAACGACAATGATATAATAAATTGAATCCAGGATCTACGATTTTATCTTGTGTGTGTGCTGGGGATTACCCGATTCTCATTTTGCTGTCATGTCTGGACAGCCCATTAATCCCCACAACACCACCAAATACAACACCTCTGTGATAAATGATTTGACATACTGTCCAAAAGTAATGAATGAAAAGTGTGCTCAGACAGCCACTTGTGAAGTCAACAAATGATCCAACCAGTTGCTTGCAGACATTCATGGAATAGACCATACTGAAGGAACAAAATGTCTACATAAGAACTATACAATAAAAGCCATAATGAGAAAACAATAAAGAACTTGTCTGATTCACAAAAATCTTGCCTGAGCAGTTTTATTTCATCTATACATTTTGTATTGAACGATGTGAAGCCAGTTTAGAAAGTGGTAATAGGATGCAGCATACAGGTTTTAGGAATTCATTGAACAGAAGGCCTTTCAGATGACCTTTGGTCTATGGGAGGGGAAGACAGAGAGGACTATGACTATGCTTAGTTGACAGATAATGGACACAGCTAGGATACACCTGGAATCCATTAAGCAGCCCACACATGTATAGATTAGAGCCATTAGGCCAATGAGTAAGGTCTCGTTCACACCTAGGCGTATTGCATATGCGCCACCGTCGCGCGTTTTTTTACTGCGATTCGCGGTAAAAAAGTTGCGCGTTTCCGAAGGCTACTGTATCCCAATGGAAACACGCAACAAAACGGCCCAAAGTAGTACCTGTACCTTTTCAGGTGTGGGCCGTTTTGTAGCGCGTTAGGGACGGGTGGAAATACGCCAAGGTGGGAACGAGACCATTGAATGCAATGGGATTTATATTTTTGAGCGTTTTGTAGAGCGTTCGTCGAGCGTAGAACGCGCTATAAAACGTTCAGGTGTGAACGAGGGCTAAAGCAAGCCTGGACAGAGAATATCATCAACTCTAAGGACCTGTGCCTCATACAAACGAACACAAATGTTGGGAGCCAAGTTGTGATGCTTATGAAAAAAATACTGTCACAACTTTTCTTCCTTACTGGCACTAACAAGTCAAAATTCAGCTGCTTTACTATAAGTACACTAAAGCCACCTTCTCATCTACTATATGTGATGTTAGTGCACATTAAGGGCCCACGGAAATGAATTAAATGGCATAGTACACATATGTGATTTTGATTGCATGATAACTAGTCTCTCTTGTGGCAAAGCACAAAAAAAAAAAAGAAAGTAAAAAAAGAAAAAGGAATGTAAAGTGTGTACTAGCACCTTAAGCTGGCCACACAACCATCGCAAGACAAAAGTCTTGCGAAAGGTTGTAAGGTCAGTAAAAAAACGTACGATCTATCTGCCCATCTTGGACAGGCAGATCGTACTTGCGATAATCGCAAGCCCGCCCCGCTGAGGGGTGGGCTTCCGATGACCGCAATACTGAATGGGCAGTGTGCGCTTGCGCACTCCGGCCTGTGCGGCAGTT